ACAGGTGATTACAGGCCCTGAAATGTGTCAAAGTAGCCTATCTTTAAATCATTATCCTCACACTGTGCGGCTCCTCACCCTGGGCTTGCTGCCTCCGATGGCCCCGGGCCGGATGGAGCCGGTCTCCTGGTAGCGGCACAGGATCTTGGACACGCAGCCGTGAGAGACGCGCAGCTGGCGGGAGATGACACAGGGCCGAATCCCGTGGTGGGCCATCTCCACTATCTTGTGTCGGATGTGGTTGGGCAGCGGCCGGCCGTTAATGAAGACCCCCCCCAGCTGGTTGACCCGGCCCTGGCCCAGAGGAGTGGACACTGGGGGCCACAGACACACTCAGTGTGAGTTTTAGGTGATCGGTAATCATGAGGGACTGTCGAAGGAAATGTTCTGATGGAAAGGTTGAGTTTCCCCTACATGTTATAATTCGAATAACATTAGGCCTGAAAATATCCACAGGCCTCCCGACATATTGTAGCCTATCTTTATTCTCTACATGGCTGCAGTAAATGGACATTTGGGTTAACAGAGGACCGGATCCACTTCAGAGGATCTGAAGAGCTCCATTATTCAGCAGCACGCTGTCCAAATATTGGAGTAATCCTCCGTGCTGTTTATTCGATTCATTTCATTTCCACTTGAAAGACCCCATGATTTGGTTAGAGACTGTTAAATGTTTTATTGGGATTTAGACTCAATTTAAATATGATGACAGCCTGTCCACTGGATTATAATACATGAAGTGCAGCCCGGATCCTGTAATATTTAGCCAGTAAAATAATAATATAATAAGGATGAAAACAAAGACATTTTAATGTTTGAATTTTTTCTTTCGCAAGAATGCGAGTCCTTCAAGACAAACCAAAAGTTGAAGCCGCCTAATGTCATCCCGTGAAGAGGACCGGGATATGTGTTGTCACTTCATCATGGAAACTCGATTGCACAACGTATTTTACGCACGAAAAACATGGAGAAAAAACAGCTGTGCCTTCCTGAAGTGATTTTTAAATCTGCACAAGGACACCTTGTCTATTTACTAATAATGTCTTTCATTTTTAACTCTGCATATTTGTAATTTTTCACACAGCTCTCGGGTTCTCAGTGTAAAGGCCGGCAGGCTCCTACCTTCCAGAGGGAATCCGGTTCGGGGGTAGTTCTGTCCGGGAGCAGGGCGCATCATCCGCGGTACCGTTCCTGGCAAAGACGACATTAAAAAAACACACACACAAAAAGAAAAGAAAAGCAAAAAGACGGACACGGTTAAAGTCCAGGTCAAGTGCAGACTTGTTGGTCACACGTCTGAGGAGGGGCACGGGGGGGAGCTCTGAGGGAGCAGTGGAGCGGTCCTCACATCTGACAGCAGCCTTTTAACGGTGTGAGGCTGGATCACTGACGGGGCCCCTACAAGTCTGGACCATCCGGGCTGCAGGGGGGGGGGTCGCAAGCACCGATAGGTTCTTGGAGCTTTCTCTTTTTCCTTAGAGAAAAGCTCCAACAAGTTGAGCCAATGGGAGCGAAGGGATAAAGACACCAACACACACACACACACACACACACACACACACACACACACACACACACACACACACACACACACACACACACACACACACACACACACACACACACACACACACACACTATATATATTGACACTCTGGCAGCTTATTTTCAGTAAAATACATAAACAAGTAAATGTGAAAGCTCCGTTAAAAACTGTATCAAAAATATTGTGTATTATTAAAGGCTATTATTTAAGCAGACGCATTACACTCCACAACTGCTACAACTATAACGAGTTAATGGGAGAAAAAAACAGTTCACACTTTTTCACTTTACACGTTATACAACCATCTAAAAACAAACACAATTCAAGCTTTATTAACATCACTCTCTCTCTCTCTCTCTCTCTCTGTCTCTCTCTCTCTCTCTCTCTCTCTCTCTCTCTCTCTCTCTCTCTCTCTCTCTCTCTCTACTACTACTACTACTACTCTACTCTACTACTACTACTACGTACGTACGTACGTACGTACGTACGTACGTACGTACGTACGTACGTACGTACGTACGTACGTACGTACGTACGGGTACGGTACGGTACGGTACGGTACGGTTACGGTTACGGTTACGGTTACGGTTACGGTACGGTACGTACGTACGTACGTACGTACGTACGTACGTACGTACGTACGTACGTACGTACGTACGTACGTACGTACGTACGTAGTACGTACGTACGTACGTACGTACGTACGTACGTACGTACGTACGTTACGTTACGTAGTAGTAGTAGTAGTAGTTAGTTAGTTA